CCGGCGTTTAGAAACAGTAATAAAAGCAAAAGGTTTTGCTTCCAAATATTAAAACTCTTATTTTATATTTGACTGTACAATTTAACGTTTGACAAGAATTTTGTTAGTTTTGTTCTCTTTTTTGTTTTAAAAATATTTCTAAATAAAAGCTTATAAGTATTTAAAGGCTTTTTTAATAATGTACAACTCTACATCAAATTTTTTTTTGCAAATTTTTACATTGAAGAGAACAATAGGTACATGAATAATCTTATACTTGGTGTCCAATTATACGTTTGAGCCACTGTATATATTATATATACATCTTTTTCGTCATTGGCGCAGACACTGCTTACCACTGCCGCTTATGCGATTATAGCCGAATCAACAACAGCGAACCCTTCGTTTCTTCTCCGCTGCCATCGACTGGGACGATATGACCAAGCCAGCGTAGCCGCTGACTCTTCATTCGCTTGTAGAGCTCGTCATTCCATCGACTTCTGTATTCGCCATTCCAATGCGCAAAACACCATAAATCGTTCGCAAGGCTTTTATCTTGAAGACTCCCAGGGTCGCCTCATCGGATGCGGACATGCGTGGGAATTCAAGACTGGCATTATTGTTGGTGTTAATGCTGGTTCCTAGATGGGCGAAATTATCTACGACCTCGAATTAATTTCTATCAAACTGCACTCTCTTGTAAAAAATTGTGTCTTGTCTATTTAGTTCTGCAGCTCTACTCTGTCTCGTTTGGTATGGACCGGCCAGGAGAGGTCCTTCCTAATTCAGACGGCGCTTTTGGTGTTAACCAGCTTCAGTTTACATAGCCGTATATGTCTTGCGGGGATACTGAATTCAAACATAATTTTTGATGGACTTTATTCTTTCTTTCAGACAGAGTCGGTTTGTTGTTTCTTAAGCAAGGGTAATTGATCGTCTTTTCTATCTCTGGGTATTGTATTTGTACTGCCATTTGGCAGGCTGAAGAAGTGTTTCCTCCAGTTACCAAGATCGCTGGACCTCGGTCAGGTGATTTCTAGATTGATTCCTACATGAGAATGCTCCGGTCTTAGTCCTCGCATCTTTTCATAGAATTTTTGAGCGGTGCCCTTGTCGGCCAGCTTCCCAGGCCGTTCTTACACACGTATTTCGGTATCTTTCTTCTTTCGTTGACGAATTTGTCTTGTTTCCTTTTTCTGCTCTAGGTACCTCCACGGTGGTAGACACCTTGCCGTCGGTGTTGGGCTTAACTGTTTGATCATCAATCCTTTCAATCTGCCAAGTTTTCTAGTGGAATGCACTACGGATCGAGCAGTGACCAAACACTACAACCCCTCCTAAGCCAGGGTATTATGCTGACCGTGCCCATTGGTTGTTTTGCAGATGGGAGGGTCGAAAACCAGCTGTAGTATAACGGTGCCTTCTCGACACAGGACCGTCTCGGGATGCAACGAATAATATCCGCATTACTTACCAATGTCATGGAGAAGACCTTTAGTAAAATTTATTCCCAAACCTGGAAAAAAGGATTACACAGTAGCTAATCTTTCAGGTCGATAAGTTTAACATCCTTCAACTCAAAAGCCATGGAAAAGATTGTCGATAATCACATAAGAACAGCTAATCTAAGAAACACACCTCTACACTCAACACAACATGCGTACAGAGTGGGAAAATGATATGGAGCGGTTGCCTGGTCAGAAAGAGCAAAGTTAAACACGGCCAAGGCTGCACTAACAAAATTGCAAAGACTAGCGTGTGTCTGTATCAGCGGAGCCCTCCGAAGTCCACAAGAAGGCTGAGAACCATTCTAGGGTAGTAGAGAACGCTACGAGCGGGTCTACTAATTTTACAGCTCCCAAGGAGGTGAGCCGCAGTGATCCGGACATTGCCTTGAGCGATTCCTGGGATAGAACCGCCTCAAGAGGAGAGAAAAAATGGGTGGCACTTGCCGGAATCACCATGAGTGTCTGGCGACCCAGAGATAAAGATCCGTACCGAATCGAATGCTGAAAGCGAAACGCTCTCGGTATCCGAGCTCGTCGGGACGGCTTTCAGCCGCTGGGAAAACATGGAGGAGGACCAGCTTTTAGAATCCGACACCCAAGGGGACGATAATCACACTACTGTCATAAACCTCTCCGAGGCAGAGGAAGCCAGCTCCATGGACTTCACAACCTCTTAGGATGGTGCAGATACTCCAAATTAATCTACACCACTCCAAGGTAGCGTCAGCTGCCCTCATTCTGCGCCTCTGGGAGAAAGAAGAAGACTTAGTTAAGGTCCAGGAACCCTGGATAGTGGGTGACAGAATCAGTGGACTGAATTCTGATACCTAGCAAACGGTATCATCAGGAAAAGGTAGGCCCAGGGCTTGTATTCTGGTTAAGAAAAACTTTTCTCATGACCAAATTCTGCCTTTCTTCTCTGACGATCTATATATACCTTTTAATCTCACCATGACATCTCCATTCATCGCTGCGTACAGGAATAGAAAAAGGACTGACTGGACGACGTACAGGAAAGTTCTGTCAGCAGCCCTGGGCGCTTCAAGGTCTGTTGCTCTCGGTGAAAATTGAAGAAGCAGAGGACTTTGTAACAAAAGTCTGCAACGCCGCTTTTGAGGCCTCATGCCCTCTGTCCACCCCATCGGGGAAGAAAAGACCCAAATGGTGGAATAATGAAATCTGTGATTTAAGGAGTAGAAGCAGAAAACTCTTTAACGAAGCCAAAAGAACGGGTTCCTGGCAATGTTCTAAAACTTGCTTAAAATCTTTTAAAACCTGTATAAGGAAAGCAAAGCGAGGATTTTTGTAAGGCCTTCTGCGGTGATATTGAAGGAAATGCGGAAGGCAATAAACTAAGAAAAGTCCTCTCCAAGAGCTCTGCAATCTCAAATTACATCCAGAAACCAAATGCTGAATGGACGACATCTGTGAAGAAATGCTGGATATGCTCATGAGGATGTTCCAAAGAACACGACCAAACCTTACGGAAAGTAAGTTAGCGGTTCCATGTCGCCAGCAGCATAATTTGTCACAAAAGGGTGGAATAGGCGATTAGATTTTTCCAACCCTAAAAAACTCAAGGACTAGATGGAACCTTTCCCGCTGAACTGCAGAGGGCGTAGGATATTCCCAATTCTATGTAAAATTTTCAAAACCTGCCTTCGCGAAGGGTACATCCCGCAAGCATGCATAAGGGCCAAAGTAATCTTTATCCCAAAAGGAGGAAGAACTAAACATGTCAATCCAAAGGACTTGCTGTGAAAGAATATACACTAGATATTTTCCTCGATATCGAGGGGGAAAAAGATGGGGTTTAAGACCGAGTATCGTGCATTGGATATACACATCAGTAGTTAGACCAATCCTATTTGACTGGTTCGCCGTCTGGTGGTGGACACTCGAGAAAATCACCTGCAGGAGCAAATTAGACTTAATTTCAGTTTCATACATATTTTGTATTGGACCACTTCTGTAAGGGACTATATGGTCCACAAATATTTGCATGGTATAGTCAATCGCGTATGGATAGCTGCGCCACGACGAGGGTTAAAAGCCAGTATAAAAACACCTCGTTCACAGCGAACAGCTATTTGAAAATCAGACCTGTCTGATGGCACGTCAAGATATTTAGTAACGGAAAAAACTCTGTAGTTTTGTTTTCCCTCCCTTCTCCCCCCACCGGTTACGTAGCTCTATCGCACAAAAGCCAACCCCCCCTGTCTCATTAGAAGGCAAGAGGGAGCGGCTTAAAAATGTAAAACTTTAACATTAAAGTGCGGAGAGGGCATAACACTGCGGAACCCGTTGTTTTTTCATAATTGCTAATTTTCGTAGTTCATGGTCCACCTCTTCAACCTCGCCCGTAACGCACTGCATGGTTCACCGATCCAGAGTTACCACAACAGTTCACGCACAAAGTCTATTTTGGTTAAGGCTATGAATTATTTTGTTGTTTATGGCGTTGAGTACGCTATGCATTTTGCGGAAATGCGTAAAAAACTTAATAACATGTGTAAAAGTAGAGACCAACAAGGACTCAAATGCCTGCGCTGCTAGGGATATCGGACGATATGACTCTTCTTTCTTAGCTTGTTTCAACAGATTCAACAGCTGGATCACCCGTCTGGAGTATTGCTACTGTGATCAGAGGAAAGTTCGTTGCACTTGGAGAAGACATTCGTCTTGCGTTCAACTCAGAAGTTTAAGCATCATCATCCTTATTCCTATTAAGTCAACTCGCAATAACCTTTTGAATCACTACCCTGAAGAAATGGAGCGTCTTCCTGGCGTATTCTCACAAACCTGGACCCGCCGTGCGGCGGTCACCGAATGAAATTTCCATCCGGTCATCGCATCTCGTCTATTTTGACAATAGTTTAACGGTGGCCTAAATCTCAAGTGTTTCTTCCATTTGTGCTGCTTATATTAGTTAACCGAGTCTCCATGTTGATTTCTTCGAATGGGAATTCTCCGGAATCGGCCTGACTGTTCTGCGGAAGAGACGTAATAACGTCAATTGATGGGTTTCACGGGACAAGCAGCTTTTTTTGGTGATCAGCGGAAACGAAGCCGCGAGATTTGCGCCTCTGAGTAGCGCGACTATATTAAGATGGTCATCAACTGGGCAACAAGTAACATGACACCGATTAAATTGCCCTGACATTACATTTTACTTTAGTATCTGCAGATGAATGAGGCGCACTATAGTGTGACATACGGAACACACGGTGAGGGGTACTAGTAACTTCCTTGTATCCCGGCATGCACGGTAGACCTGAAGGCTGATGTGAGGAGTGCCGTTGGATCGTGGATAGGATTTAAAGCTATAAGAAGTTGTTCCGTTGACGCACTGTTCTAGGCTGGTGTGTAGAACCGGCTGTCGTGAAAGTTGTGTAATACCCGTCTATTTGAATTGTGTTTTAGCGGAAAACAAAGTAAAATATCACACGGCCAATGGGGAAAAATGGGCAATATCCGAGTTTCAACAATAAAAAAAACTTAACAAACCACTTAGTTGTATTAAATACATTTTAATATGAGAAACAAGAACAAAGATTTATGAATGATATACATCAATACATTTCAACCGCCAATGTCTCACAAATTTAAAGGCATCTTCAATCAGAAACAATAAAAAACAATCCTACTATTGATCTATTATAATTCCCCAAATGCAATCTATATAACCAAATGAAGTAGTTACAAGTTCCAAATAGTGATATGTGCAAATCCCGATTTAAGGTACGTCCAATAAAATAACATTAGATAAGTTTTCTGAATGACTAAGTAAAGTTGATATGATGAATTCTGTTTACTGCTAAGTTACCTAAGATTTGTAACTTGAGATTTTGTATCTCTTTGTCTTTTTGGTAAAAAATGCGATCGCGTTTCTGCTGCAATTTTAACATTTTTAATCGTTCCTTTTCCACAGCAACTCGGTACAAATGCAATTGGTGAGCTCGTTGAGAACGATTTCGCGGTGAATGCCCGTTAATCCGCAAACGAATATTTCTTAATTTCTTCCGATTACAGTTACACATACAATGACTTCCAAAATTTGTTGGAAATGTTGGTAACTGGTGATCCGAAACACTGGATTCATTATCAGTTACAAAAGGTTTTAAACTTTGCACCTGGAGTTCTTGAGATACCTGCTTATTTACATTTTGGTTCACTGGAGATGGCGAGGGATAATAGTCTGCAATGCCATACTTTTCATGCTGCCCTTTACTTATTTGCTGAAAAGTAGTCGAAGGACTGAGTTCTTCTAAAGAAATGTCCTTTTCAACCTTAATTGCAACGTCTTGAATGGGCGGCGGCATTACTATTGTAGGTGAAGCTGAAATTCAATTGAAATGTTTCAATTTTAGTAATAATGTACCATTGGTTCTATTACCCATTTGTTCTGATGTTGACAAGGAAATTATTAATTGCTTATTTTGGAAGAGATTTTTCGCTAACTCATCTTTAGCTTTTTTTGCTTCCGCTGCACGAATACGACCCAATTGCTGCTTGAGCCTTTCTTTTGATCGTTGATAGCCGGCAGCTTGCATATTAGATGTGATATCGTCCCATGCCTCCGATTTTCTTTTAATTGTCATCGTATCACTACCTTTATTTTCTAAAATCATTTGATGAACACGAGTAAGAGATAAAAGTAATTGCTTCTCTGCTTCCGTCCAATTTGGTTGTCGTTCACGCTTGTCTTTCACTCTGCTTTTTGATGGTACTGTATGAAGAAAATAACACATTTATATTATGGTTTCTAGGTTTTTCTATTTTTTTTTATATTTATACCACATAAATCCATGTTATTTTGAGTATAGGGCGTTTTATGTTTATATTGAATTTTTAAATATCAACCGACATATTTTACGTGTCTCAAAATATTAAACCCAGCATCAGTTAAGGCGCTGTCAGAGAAATTTTTCGCTTAGGGATTTTTCCGTCCATTTCAATTTCGACACTGGCAACACTGAAACTATAGTTTCCGCCAAGGCAAATTCACACATTTTGTTTGCGCAATTTGTTTAATTGGGAGGAAGCACAAGCAATCATATGATCTGACAATTTCACCTTATATAATAAATTCGCCTTGGTTTCTGCAATTTCGTTCCAAATAAGGTCGGTTTGGTAAGCTGTTGAACAATTGTTACCAATTCCGGAACCTGAAACAAAATGACTTGTATTTCACCATTACTGACTAATTTAAATTGAAATTTCTCACCGAACAGACCTACAATTGCAGAAATAAAAATCGTGGAGGACTAGTTTGTTTTTGAAATTGAATTTCCACTAGGTATTTAATATTTCTCCAAATTGTTGTCAAGGGATTTAAGTGTTGTCAGAGGTTTTTTTCATGAATTCTTGTGAAATAAGCTAATTTCCAGGAATTCAAACACAATTTCCGTGAAATTAAATTTCGAAATTTTGCGTTGTAAAATATGTTTATTACGCTGTCAGATGGCGCCTTTACTTTATTTGAAATTGCTGAGCCACTTTTTATATTGGGGCCGAAAATGTGAGATTTTTAATGGAGGGTTTGGTAATCACGTAGATCAATTTATTAAAATCGATACAACATAGCTTAAATTTCAGCAAATTTACTTCCCTTATTTACATAAATTAATTAAAATAGTCGACAATAGCTGATGTTATTTTCGGCCGAGCTCCTGCTTCAATTTGTGTTGTACATCTTGTTGATTTTTATGAAAAGCTTTTAATTCATATGTTACTAAATCTATACTTGTATATAAATTAAGAAATGTAATTCATTTGCAATTAAAAATATGTCTAATATAAATATACACCAAAAACAGTACAAACACAAAAAAGACTAGCATTGGTAAAAACATCTGAAGCATGGGAATCGGACTCGGCATCCCAGCAGCATTTCGCTATATAGCGACAACCAGCACCTAGTTGCTGCCCAAGAGTGACTTGTACAACATGCTTGAAGCGGGGCATATGAACCAGTTCCTTTACAGCAAAACTTACTTCATCAGAAATTTCTCGAGTCCATTTACGCGCTTCATCTGTATTGTAAACCTTTCCTGCCAGATAGCAAATGTTTCTTAGTGCGTCAGAAAAATAATTTCATTACCTTGCAATTTTTCGTAAATCGTATTTTGAATTATACTTTTAATTCTGGAAGCCGGAAATAATTCCCTTAATGCAGGTTTCATCCGATATGATGTTACAGGCAAATTTATTCCTGTTTCTTCTCCAGTGTCTTCCAATAAAAGTAGGTCGTTTGCGTCGCCAACATCAGTAACTCTCTTTTCATCGTCATCCACTATTGAATCCATTTTTAATTTATTTTTGTATCTATATAAATTTCAATAAAGCTTTAATAAGTATTGTTGGGAAAAGCAAACTTCAATACATACGTTACCTAGCACCAAATTTTCAGAAAACTTAACTATCATTTCCCGTGTATGAATGCATTTAGGAAAAAATATTCAAAACAAATCCTATGCTTTAAGGTTGCCATATGATTTTTTCTTCTCTATAGTGATTTTATTTATAAACTACACCATGATTCCACAAATCTTTCGAATTCGTTCACAAGATTGTTGTTTCTTAATAGTAAGGAACTTAATTGATTTATTACTCAATAAATAAAAATTCGCTTTACTATACGCGATGACTTATTTAACACCATTTTACTTCACACTTTCACAAATTTTTTCTCCTATAAATACGCAGTCGATTAATTGTACAACTCCTTATGAACAATCTATTTATTTTTACAGTTTACTCTGCTTCATTTTAGAGCGATGCAATATCTAGCTACAAACTCTCTCCAGGTAGACCACTTTCATTTTGTTACTAGGCGTGTCAATGGTCTATATACGATACACTATGTCATTCAAGTGACTCCTGCTAAATTCCAATAATTTCCGCGACAGTCCGTTCTTTATACCGGAACGCCTCGGATTTTTATACGACCAAGGACTGTCACCCCTGCTATATTTTGCGGCTACAACAACAACAATTGCTCTGTAATTTCGGAGTCAATCTTTGCCTTCGTTTAGGATAAGAAAGCGACAAAGGATCTGTTGCCTTATTATATCAGGCTTCTACGCTGGCAATCACAACGTGGGTATGTCGTCCTAATTGATTCATTACCTCTATCAGCGTCCGCTTTAGAACACCAGATGTCTTCCTCTTATATCCGTTGTTATTTTATTTCTGATCCTCGTTTTTGATCAGGATCACTTTCTTCTTGTTGTATGAAGAATGGTGTTACCTTTTTCCCGTTTATGACCATACTTCTCTTGTGTTCAAGGCCGATCGAGTGATGGAGTGTAATGTGCCTGTATCCACAATAAGTATTACCTTGCGTCAATCCTCCTATCCACGAATTGCAATGTTGCTCGTTTTTCTACCAATTTACATGGCGGAGATTATTATTGAAATTCAGCGTCTCCAGGATCTCTTGCATTACGCCTGCACCCAGGGCGCTTTGTAAGCTCGTCTAATTATGATTGTCGTTCTTGTACGTTGGATATGCTGGGGTCGAATCTGGATAAATAAGAATTTAACCTGCTACAATATCCAGACCTCAGTTGTGCCAAGGTCACGCGGGTCTCTCGAGGCAGCTCAAGCTCGTTATCTGCAATGAGTGGTGGTTTTAGTCCGAGCACGCCATTCACTGGAAGGGAGTCTTTGAAGGTGTTGACTGACTCTTGGTGAATGGCGTTCAGTGCCCCTCTGTACGCCGTCTTGTCCAGCGGTTGTTGTACATGTTGCTGGTTGATATATTTTAAGTTGAGTACTCCCTTTCTGATGTGCATAGGTGGAGATTCATCTCCAATTAAGTGCCTATTGGGGTGCTCCCTGCGGTAACATCCCAATAGCAACTGCTTGCACAGAAAATCATGATGCTTCTTAACTCGTAGCATAGATGTTCCGGCGACAGCAGGAGGTTTCCTGTCGCAGTCCTGAGGGCAGTGTTCTGACAAGCCTGTAGCTTCTTCATCTGCATCTCGTTAGTCGTCGGCGCCTAGCTCAGTGCATCATAAGTTGCCCGCAAAGTCGGACAGTTTCAACAAATGTTGACTTTGGATTCGTATACATTTACTACGCTGACAATCTGCTGGATTTTTACCCTATCGAGGTGCTCACCAAAAGCATGTAAATTAGCTGTAAGGGTCAATCTCTGAATTTCGGAAGCAAATTCCTGCAGTGATTCTCCAGTTTCATTTATTACATTTGCCACATTTGCTCACTACCATAGCAAATTTTTTTCTAGTTATTTGCTATATTCGTATTTTCGAAGCTTACGGACCTGGAAAGAGGTTGCACATTCAAAAGTTGGTGCTTTTATTTTAAAGCGTTCGTTGCAGTTTCAGAACGACTCCTCTGAACTTTTCCAAAATCTCCTTCAATTCCACTCACTTTCTCTCCAGCTTATCATGTCGTTCTTTCAGAATTGTATTCTCTCTGACCATTTTGTCCTGAAGCTGAGTAAAATGGAATGGAATATGTGTTGCAGATATGATGGAATCTCAGACATGTGGTCATCCTGTCATGATATCTTGTACATACGTGTATCTGGTACTTGTAGATGTCATGGGCTGTTAGTATTTCAAATCCTTCGTACTCGTGACGGGTTTTAAATTGACTGAAATAACTTCCTCTGTGCTTCCACAAGATTCGTAAAATCTTAAATCGTGACCATTTTAATCGTGGCTATTTTCATCCTTTGAATTTATGTAACAATCCTGGATTATTTCTCAAATTCTTTAATTTTTCTTCAACTTCTTTACTGAGAGCGAACAGTTTATATATCTCTAGTGAAAGCTCAGTTTACCAAACACAATCCTCGTTTATACCGCTGTTTTTACTACAAAGTACAATTTGCTATTGATAATGCCAGCAGAGATTTCTCTAGTGGTTCTTCTTTGAATGTTCTCGAAAACGAGTATTCGATACACTTGCTTCAGAAAACACATGAGACATCGACCCTATTTCTTCCTTTTTCTCTGTAGCCTTTGGGTCTGGTAGCTCTATTTTGGTTTTTTATCGTTATTTCTATCATAAACTTCTTTCCTGACACTTCCAACGAAAATTGCGCGTTGTGTGTTGTACAATTAGATTTTGTAAGAGAAAAAGTTCCTTTTTTCTCGTAATAAAAAGCAAATAGTAACTTACTTTTCACAGGCAAAAAATTAAAAGCTTTGTGGATAATCGAAATATTAAATTTACATGAGAAAAGTCAGCTGAATAAAGTTCAATCAATTCAAAGTTCCCTGAAAGATTTCCTTTCATATCCCTTACATCCATTTTCGCTTTACTTTTATCTTTTCATCTTTCGAGTTTTTTGTTTATTGAATTTTGTGCAAATCTTTTTCAACATTAGTACCTGTGAGAAAAAACGAGTTGACATTCAATGGAAGCTTTTGACGCAATTTCTCAGTTGATAAAATGGGAGGTATAAATATAATATAATTCACCGTTTTAATCTTATATTTGCACTTGGAGCAAAGTTAATTGACTAAATGGCAAGTTCTGTGTTTATTGAGAATTGCACCAAGTCCCTCCAGGGAGATCTGACATCAGAAAATGGGAATTCGATTTCTGCATCACCTGATTCCAATTTGGTGGTGGTGTATGGAAAAAGCGGGGTTAACTTTGATCATCGAGGAATTGAGAATCTCATTGGTGAGGCAGTTTAAAATTGAAGAAAAAAAATAGATATTACTAACCATTTTTAATTTCAGTGGAAAAATCTGTATCGTCAATTAGTGTCATACGGCTAACCTCACCGACTCCCAGCATGATAGATGAAGAGGAAGAAGCAGAGAAGTCGGAAGAACTAATGCGTAGACAGGCTGATGGTTTATCAGATGATGATTCCGGTAGTCAAAGAAATAGTTCTAGTATAGACGAAGGTCTAGAGCGTTCTGAAAGTGAAGCAATCCATACAACAGACGATGAAAAGAGTGACGTTGGGAGTGAAAATTCGGTTGATAACCTCAAGTCTGAAACACGACGAAAGAAAAAAAGAAATATACGTAAACTTCGCGAAACGTGTAAAAAACAAAATCCCCATAATAAAACGTCAAAGGAGCGTCCAGATATAATTGGCTTAACGATTGAGGAATTTTATTCACCAATATCTGCAAAGGAAGTGGTTAAAGAAGCTTTGAGTAATAAATTTTCAATAAATCTTCTACTAAGAAATTTAATAATTTCCGATTTTATTTAGAACTTGCAGGAGTGTCAACATTTAAAAGGACGGCTGATTATGAATTTCAATTATTGGTCATACGAAATGATCATTGTTATACTCCATTTACATCACCTGCACAAATGAAAGCTAAACTGGCTGAGAAACATAAAGTAGAAAAACAAACAGCCATAAGTCGAAGAATTATTCCGCATACCGCTGTAACTATGAAGCAATTACAGCTGAAAAGGAAAATCTTGCAAGATTCAGGGGAGTTTTCCGGTCAAACAAGTCAAAGTAGTGAAGAACACCATGTAAAAATATTAAATAAACTACCGGGAAAATTCTATAAACAAAATGAAAAATCAGATTGTATTGAGGACGATAACGATGTGTACAGCTCAACAGCAGATTCTGATTTTGATGTACTTAGCGATGTATCTGGAGATACTGATAATGATCGAGATAGTGACTTGGATTTCAATGTTAACAACAGGAAAGGTCGTAAGAAAAAAGATCTCGTTACCAAAGCCAAACGGCTATCCGCTGGAAAAGTTTGTGTAAAAAGAAATCAAATACAACAGGATGACGCAGATGATCAACGAAACAAAAACGTACGCTTGATTACCGCTAGCATTTCTAATCGACAAATTAAAACAGGACCACCTGCAAAAGCAGGCTGTGCAACAGTTGCCGTGCAGAAATTACTTTCGGATGCCGTAGCTGCCCTGCCACCTATCCCAAAACGCCCTGTAATAGCACAAAGGGAAGAAAATTCTATTAACCCAGTCGTTCGACAACAAATAATGCCATCTGCAGTACGCAGGGGCCCTACAATAGAGGTTGGAGGTCAAAAGGCACCCAGCACACGCACACAACTACAATCTTCCCCACAATCTGTAAAAGAAATTGTTATTAATAAGGTAATGAGAAAATAATATATTGAATTTCCTATTAAGAAATATTTTGTATTCTGCAGGTGATGGCTAGTCCAAAGGGAGGATTTACGGAAATTGGAGAATTCCTATCTCAAGCAGATGATAAGCCAACAAGAGTTACCCCAGTTACATCCACGAGCGGCATTAAAGCACCCGCAACGAAAACGGGAAATAACCCTACATCTTCAAAAGGTTTTATGCCACTGGGAGTGGAGACTGCTTCGAAAAATAAATTGCCTGTACAAATTTCAATTCAAACTCACCAGAGCTCCTCTGAATTAGCTAAGTCTAAGGTTTTGGAGGAATCACAGCAACTTGTTCAGCTCAATTCAACGTTATCAAACAGGCCTGTCATGCAATCGGAACAAAGCCCTGCTGAGTTAGCCTCAGAGCAATTTGATCTAATTGTTTCTATTGTAAAGGATGAAATGCGAAAAAATTCTTTGGTAGAAGCGACTTCGAAATCAAATGAAAACATACCCAAATTGGTGCAGATGCTAGAGAATGCTGAACACAGTTTAGAGTCAAGTGCAGCCAAACCTCAAGTGGACAAAAATCTTAACAAATTCGGCCCAACTACTGAAGCGGGGGTGGGTGACATTGACATTTCTAACGCACCGCTTCTAGACTCACCTGATGGTGACGAAATCCCAGAAGACTTACTTCAGCATGTTGTAGACCTTATTGAAGATGATGAAACTTTGCAAGAAGCAGTGGAAAAACAAGTTTTCAGTGAAGGTCAAAATGAAGATATTGCATGTGCTACTTCGGGCGATGGTGTGTATGGAAATGTGTCTTCAATCACAGCTGGAACCATACCAACTCCAATGGTTCCAGAGCCTATGCAACAGGTAATTAAGTCGGTATTCGATTACGTTTTAATTTTCCATCGCTCTTTACTTTATTGTCGTGAGAAAATTTTTTTGTAAAGCAGGTATTTTTCGTAGTTTTTACTTTTTAAGAGCAAAGCTTAAAAGGCACCTTATTCCAAAAAATACAATCGAAGAACCGCTAAATTAAAGACGGCAACTTTGGACAATAGTATAGGAAGTACTGAACTCAATTCCTTCGAAGAGGTTCCGAAATCTAAATGGAAGTTTACCTCTTAGGTATGATGCTTTTATTTGGAACAAAGACTGTTCCACATTTTTTTTTAATTCTCGCGGTATCATTGTTATTGTTTAGATTTAAATTTAATGTTATGGAAATAGTATAAACGGGAAATTATTGTGCATACCTTGGGTGAGTATCCGACGCAGTAAAATTTTTAAAATCTTGCAAATCTACAAATTTATTTCTTGTTATTTTCAAGTGTAGACGGTTTCTTTTTTAATATGCTAAATAAAATGTATAAGGCGCCCGCGGTAGCCGCGTGGTTAGCATTGCGCCATTCGGAAGGCGCTTCCCGTAAAAATTTATGATGTCTTAGAAAGCTTTTATATTGGCAGAAACCACTGTTCCACAAGGAAGTGTTTTAGGGCCCGTCTTATATGTAATTTATATGAACCGAAATCTCATCACATCAACTTTTGCGGATGTTAGAGAAATACTTAGTGTGCATTCAAACCCCATGGAGTCTAGTTACAGAATACAAGAACATTTAAAAGTAATAGAATATTGGCTAACAACTTGGAGAAATACAGTCAAGCCTGAGTGCATATAAGTAAAATTTACCCTAAAAATAGACGCATGTCCTTCAATCTCTTTAAATTGTGATACAATAGTTCAGAAAGAATTCGTTACCTACCTGGAAGTTACATTGGATAAAAGACTCACCTGGAAAAACCACATGGACAAAAAGATAACTCAAACCAAATTGAAAATTTCGAACTTGCATTGGATTGTAGGCTCTAAGTCCGAACTTAGTCTAGAAAACAAAGTTTTACTTTTTAATATGCTTATAAAGCCATCTTGGACGTACGGGATCCAATTTTGGGGCTCAGCATTTAAATCTAGCCTAGATAAAATTCAAAGACTGCAGTCTAAAACATTAAGATCAATATGCAAAGAACCTTTGCACAATTCACAATGATCTGAATCCCGACCGTCACCGAGGAAAGATAAACTGCTAAAAATTACTCATTGAGGTTATCTAACCACACAAACTTTCTAGCTAAAAAGCTATTACAGCAGAACTACCATAAGCGATTAAAGAGAAATTATGTACGAGCTTTGCATATATCCTTCATCATATTATAATTTACTTCAAATTATCCTTTGTTAAATTTTAGGCATGAGTGTTTGGTATCCCTAATCATATCTATATAAACCCATTATTTGATAAATCTAAGTTATATTCGTAATTTATTGTACTTTGCTTACTTAGTTAATCTTTTTTATTGTTAGTTTAAAAAGAGGGAAGATTCAATAAAACATTATACAAAAGAAAATCAGGTTATCTGCTTAAATGCAATATTATTAAAAAATGAGGAATATGTATGTGGGCATGTCGCAGCACAAGTATACCCTTGATATAGTTTGTTGTTATATATGAAAACGATTCGTGATTATCATTAATTTGCCTTTCTATTTTTTTCAAAGGAGTCTCTTCAACCAAAGAGTATTATTGAAATGGCCATATCTAACTTGCCATCGACTTCAGAGAGTGCGAATAATGAAGGTAATAATGCTCCAGTTCGCGCTTATAACCTGCAAACTCCAAAGGCCACAGCGTCAACATTGATTCGAAAAGAACCTATTCAAATCGTACGTGGAAATGGCCGAGTTATCACGTTACCTCCAATTGAAGCACCAACAACTCGTGCTAAGAGGAGAGCTCAAAATCAGCCAGCAAACCCTGCAAATACAAATGCAGTATTTAACGAGTCATCCATGGATAGTTCGATGCAGTCAAATTCATCGCTAAGCGTTGCTGAGCATGTAACTCCTATTCAAGTTGCTGTGGAAAAGAAAAATGAAACGGCATATAAAAGGCGAGTTTCCAAAGAAGCCACATCTTCTGGAACGAGTGTTGGAAAATCTAAGAAAGCTGCTTCAGCCAAAAAGACCAGTGTTAATAAAATTAATACAAGTAAAGCTGTAGTTGAAGAATATGCTTCAGGTTCGCAAGAAGATGACGATGATCCAAATAGGTATATTCAATAAATAAAATGTATATATCTTATCATACATGTTTCTTAATTTTCAGGCTTTGGTGCATATGTCGACAGCCGCACAATAACCGATTTATGATTTGTTGTGATGTTTGCGAAGATTGGTTCCACGGGACTTGTGTAAGCATAACGAAAGCAATGGGTATAGAAATGGAGCAGAAAGGGATTGATTGGACTTGTCCTAAATGTGTCAAATTACAAGAAGAAAAAGTAAGAGTGAACTTTTCAGTACATTCAAAATTGTTATATAAATATAAAATATGCTGCATTGATTAACTTACAGAAACAAAGAAAAATCACTGACATGCTTATTTCAAGGAAGGTTACAGATGCAGCAACTGGAAAAAAAGATAATTTGGAAATTTTTCGCCAACATGATTTACAATCAGGCTCTAATTTGGAAGTAACGGAGCATAATTTTGCTCCTTTATGTGAAGAAACAAATTCCTTAGAAAACGCACAAATCGTTGATACAAAGAAACTACCTTACGATGATGTAATAGGTGTTACACCGCCATTAAAGAAATCCTCAAAAATAGCCACAGCTTCTACTAAGAAAAAACAGCAGACTCTAAATTCGAGACAAAGAGGCGTTAGCTCACCTGCTTCTCAAACGAAGCAACGACAAATTTTACATCAAGATAGGAAACAACATGTTGAATTAGACAAGTCTTCTGCATCAACTCCGTCTCCTAATAGTGTTCAACAAACATTCAAAGATGTAGAAAAGCCAATAATCCCGGAATCAATATCAACTGATCCACTTACATTTTGCATTGTTTGCAAGAGGACAGCACGACAAAATTCAATATATTGCAGTGATGAATGTATTCGAAAGCATGCACAGAATGCTCTCAATATGTTTGCGGCAATTTCAGCTGCTAAGTCTCCAGAACCAAACGTTATGCCAATTGCAAATGAAGAAATTTCTATGAAGAAAAAGAAATCCAAAGGTCTTTTTGAGGACATCCTCTCTATGGCAGATCGGAAACCGAAAATTGAACGGGTAAAACAAACATGTATATTTGCTATAAATTGTAATTCTCGATATAAAAAATTTTAAAATACCACAGATCCATGTGATTGAACGCAAAAGCGGCCGTGTTTTAACAGGAAACAATGCACCAACTACGCACAATTTGAAGAAGTGGCTGCAAGATAATCAAACATTTGAAGTAGTGCAGCCCGGAAGCATTGAAGCCCAAGAAGTTGAAGTAAGTTTGGTAGAAAACTTTTTATATTATTTTTAAATATATTGTATTTTTTTTTTCTTTTTTTTTTTTAGAAAAAACAAAGGCATCGTAACCCTGCAACTTTACCTCCTATGGTTGTCCAAAATGTAACAAAACATATCACATCCACGTCTATAACTCATATGCAAGGGAATCAGTCTCCACACAGTGCTTGCGTTGTTAATAAAACAGCTGTGCCACAAATAGAACAGGAGTCGCATGTGCAAAGGCCGGTAAAACAGTTGATTGAACAAGTTGTAAAATCTACAACCCATAGTCCACGCCCTGGTACTCCTAAGCAACTCCAAAAATACCCACCGCAAGTTTCTATAAAGACAGATAAAACCGTACGTAGCGAATCAAAAGATGAACTAAAAGAAAAGAAGGACAAATCAATAAAGCAGCGTCCAATGAACGATACTATCAGAAAGCATCCTGAAGCAATGGCATCGATGAGCGCTAGTTCTGAACCCATTCGAATTAATGTACGCCGTACTCTAAAGGAGCAACTGCTACAACGAATGAATGAAATTGGAAATGAAAATGAAAGCGAAAGCAACGGCAATGGACTCTTGCCGAAACTAAGTATCGCAGAAATCGAAAACTTTGTTACGGATACCGAAGCTGAAATGTACGATTATTTCAGCCGTGATACCGGATCACGTTATAGGGCTAAGTATCGTTCACTAATGTTCAACATCAAGGATAGAAAGAATCGAACACTTTTTGCTAAGATTTGTGCCAAGAAAATACAACCAAAGCAATTAGTTCGAATGTCACCCGAAGAATTAGCGAGCCAAGAATTGGCCCAATGGCGTGAAAACGAAGCAAAACATCAATTAGAAATGATAAAAAAGTCGGAACTAGATATGTTGTCTTGTGCAAAAAATTACGTTTTAAAAACACATAAAGGCGAGGAGGTGATTGAGGGTAAAATTGGGGATTGTGTTAATTTGGACACTAGTATTCCAGTAGAACATGTGGTGTCTGTGCTAAATAGCTCAGTTGTGAGTAGTAGCGACCCAGCAGAGGAAGATATAAAAATTGATTCAGAGTTAAGCTCATTGTATTTCGACATGCAAAATAGTAGTGAGATACAATCAATTAAAAGCGGTTCCCGTTTAGACGACGAGAAGTCAAAAAATCATTCGAAAGAAAAAGATAGAGAGCGTGATTTCGATGATGATAGAGATCGCTATCATGGTCGAGAGCGTGAGCATTCTCATGCTCGTGCCCGCTCACACGATAGTGATCACAGCAGGGATAAACAAAGGAAAAACAAAGATCGGCACAGGGATAAGTCAAGATCACGGAAACGCAGTCGTAGCCACTCTCGCAGTCGGAGCCACAGCAGAGAAAAGCGCTATAAGAGCTACCATAAAGATGAAAAACGCGAACGGGTGGATCGTGACCGAGACAAGGATAAATACAAAGAAAAAGAACGGTATAGTGATCGGGCTGTACGTCAACATAAAGATGAAATAGATAGCAGGTCGCTAGAAAAACCAGCAATAAAAAATTCCCCTGCAAATATAAATTTAAATAAAAGCAGTGTCATGAGTAGCAGTAAGGATAAAAGTTGCTTAAAAAAGCCCATTGCTCCGAAACCAATAGAAGTTTACAGTCTAATTGATCAAATACTGGAATCTACCAAAACAGTAGAGGAGGCTGCAAATTTAATAAGTGAAAGAGAAAAGGAAAAACAAAAAAAAGAATCGATTAAAAAAATAAGTACAACGCCTTTGTCGACATCGTCAATACTCAAGTTCAGTTCTGAGCAAGAACACATTTTCTCAAATGCTGTTACAAATGATGATCAAGAGCCAAGTAGTACCGTAACAATAGCGACACCACCTCAAGACCCATACATTCGTTATACTGACACCGATTCACCGACATTAACTGACAGTGTGTCCACAGCCATAATTTGGAGTGGAAATATTAATATGGTTGACGTCGCCTCTTTCCATATAATACTACAGCCTGTTGTAGGAAATGCGCTAAATATGGGTAACTTGTTTCCCAACGAATTAGATGTTGTTGGACGAATTGGTCCTGACACAGTATGGGAATATATTTCAAAAATAAAGAGAAGCCCCAACAAAGAAATTGTCATTATTCGCCTCATTCCATCCTCAGAGACCGAAACAGCAGCATACACTGTATTATTTCAATATCTTGAAAATAGAAATCGTTTGGGTGTTATAAATACTATATCGCCGCAAATAAAGGATTTTTATATATATCCATTGGGAGCAGGCAAACCAATGCCTACAGTATTGTTACCAGCTGAGAAAGTAGATTTCTATGAAGATCCCTATAGGCCGGACATCTTAGTGGGTGTTGTAGTGAGGATAATAGGAAAGCGTCTCACATCTGTACCAACCAACTCAGCGTCTCTATCAATATCAAAGGTAATTGTTGCGCATTTCACATTTGAATGCATTATTTGTTTATCTTACTATTGATAATATTTCATTTACAATTAAATTGTAGTTATTAAGAACATTAAAAAAAAAAAATTTCGCATTGCTGTAAACAAGAAGTAACAGCTATCTGCGGCAATGCCGTAGTCTTTATACCTTCACATTTATGGCATTAATATTAGATGACCTCAAGGAGCTGATGATTTTTTATATGTGGGGCCTTTATTTCATGTCAGTAATACATTCGGAGGGAAATTTAACTAAATTTTTTATGTGTACTCGTACTCCGCAGTATAAACGTTAGGCGCCTCCAATTGTTCAACAGTCGTACCATAAATTGGAAGAGGAGCTCGGCCGATGATATATATAAACAAAGATATATATAAATGTACAGCTGGCCGAATCACCGATTCTCATTCACCATGGTCTCATATAATGGACTTTTTAATTCTCAACATCCGCTTGACGCAAGATCGAATATTTAAGACATTAAATAACAGGCACACCAATACCTAATATATATCAGGACCTACCTCCTGTATAACAGATCTTTTTTTGATCTGTGAACTTTATATAAATATATGCCTAGTATTAAATGTTCGGCTCCACCCGAACTTTGTTCTGTTATTATTATGTCAGAATAGAAAATTTCTGCATCATTCAATTTTATATTATTTAATTAATGTGATTTGGCCATCATATTTTATAGTCTCATCATCGAATAACCGATGCAGAAACGTTTACACCGCCTGGTAGTCCCAAAAGAAAACGTAGGATGCTTTCATCTACACCAAAAGTTGCCGAAATAGATGTTGATGCTATTATAAAGGCACCAATCGCTACAAAATCGCATAAAGGTATGTAAATACTCTTACTTTAAGTAATTTTATACATGTACAAAAATATTCTTTCTTTTAGCAGCTTCGCTACCATCCTCAGCTCCAACAGATGATGCTAATGAGCCATATTCCCCCGGCGGAAGTTCTGATGATGACTCGGCTGTAACTCCTAAAATGACTTCAAGGTCTGACGAAGACGATTTAAAACGTAAAATGGAAGAACTAAACAGACAAATCGCAGCTCAAGAAAAGGAAATCGCTGGTTTGCTGAATGTAGAGCCATCGGTAAGGGAGTTTAAACAAGTTATAAAGTCTAAAATAAAAACATTTATATTATATTTTCCGTTCAGTGTTTTACAACCCCATCATCATCAAAGACTTCCGCAGTGCTGGCCAATATTTCAATTCCCTCAAATCTTTCCCAAATTCTTGCAAGTATAAAGAGTAAACCAGAGGGCAATCAATCACAGGCACAACTTCAATCAACCCGGATAAACACAGTCACAAATAGTCTTAGTAATGTTCTTGATGATGAAGAATATAATCCTGAGTTGGCTTCATTTGAAATAAGCGGTAAGTTATTTAATTCATAATATCGATCTAAAACACCACACAGCCTGTTGAGGCTGCCCATGCGGGTTAGGTGCTCGAGAATTTACCCGTGGTAAAGCATATCCGTTCCCGCGACAATATGCTCGAAAGTGAGCTGCAATTCTCCAAACCTTTCCCACTTCATCATTGCACCACAACTACAGCTACAATCCGTGAAGTGCCCTTTTTACCAGCGGAACGAAAGAGTACCAGCTCGTACTCGATTGCACAAAAATTTCGATTAGCACAAAAATGCAATAAATCGTTAACGGACAGAAACTGGAAAAAAGACAAAGAAACTTTGCTAAAGCAATTGGAAGAAGCTACAGGCACAGCGAAAAATTTAAGCTGCGAGTTAAGGAGCATAATGTTATGCTGTGCAAGCAATATCTGCTGGGATCACCTCAACAGATATTTTATTGAAGCCACCTAGAAACAGAGTATATTGCAGACGAAATTCGCGCGCTGCTCGACAGACCACAGACCCCAGACCCCACTAAACACCTCTTTGCGTGTTCCTTAAAACCTGTTCATCTAACATCTCTTTCCCTCTGGTCCAAACCTGCTCGCATGTTGTTATTTCTAGCAAACCATGGATGAGTATCTTTTTCTAAGACGTTCTGTTTCATATCGATTTGGATTTCCGACTTGGAATTAAAAAGGTGTTTTGTAATCATATCGGAAATATGAGAAAAAGCAAATCCAATTCGAAGAGTCATAGTTCAATTGCTTTCCTTCAGCGTTCTTGATTTATATTTCATATATTTAGTGTTTTATACGTATATTTGTTATTGAACAATTTATAAATAGTTATATAAAATTAGTTTTGGAATTGGAGAAGGAAATAAAGTGAAAAAATTAAAGAGCAAAATTTCGTGTGGCCACAATCTACTAAGTCTCTAAGATAAAAATGTGTTCTCCGTGATATTACGCAAAATGTAACCAAACTCAAAAGCTGTTCATTCAACCTAAACTGAAGATATTACGTGAAAGACGTTTTACCAAAGATCGGTAAGCAGGTGCAACACCAAGCTGCACATTGCTACACTTTTTACTATGTCCGAATAGCATTCATTATTTTGTTCTTTTAGGGAAATCTTAAAAAAAAAACATCTTACCTGCGTATATATATATATATATATATGTATGCGATTTTCGGCCGAGCTCCTGCTCCAACTTGGGGTTTTGCGTCATGATATTTATTTCTGTTATAAGATTTTAGTGAGCGAAAGGTCTGGATTGCTTGTATGAATAGAATATTTTTTATTGTATTATTCAAGTCATTATTAACCAACAACTATTAGCAAATTTAGCCTCTATTTGTCTTAATAGCGTGAATAGTGATTTGCTTTGAAATCCTCTACACTTTCATTCGTTAAATCTCGGGCTCATCTTATATATTATATTAATAATTGTTTTTGAGTCCGTGTTATTAATGTTTTTGTCCTAAGTTGTTGTTGTTTAACTAATCTCTAACATACTTCTCTTGTTTATAGCTAAATATTTTGATTATAAATACACCACTTTTGAAGCCTCTATGACCGAAAAAAGCACTGTCTCTTAAAGCTCTCATAACGAGGTTTCATTGCAATCCCAAGAATATTATAATGAAGCTTAATTAAAAAGAATTGATGTGAATTTTAATTCGTGAAATATTACAACTTAATAAATTGAATTTTTTTTTAGCTAATTCGACGAGGAAAACTTCAAGCCGCTTAGCTCAACTAAGCGAGGCAGAGTTGATGAGTATGGTACCCGATGGTATAATGGACGCTCTAGTGGCACGGAACTCCGTGCCAGCCAGCACCGATATAAAAACACATTTTGAGGAGCCTCCACCACCTGGTGTTTGAATGATAGACAGCATGCAATATTTAGCATAATAAAAATGGTTATGCTTGTTCAATATTTATACATTATTTCATATATGAGAATATCTCTTCAAGTTATCAAATTTTACATTAAAATATTTATAAACGTTAGCTTTACACTATTTATATATGTATATGAAAATCATCAGTAAATTCTGGAGATTTTACTAAATTTCTTATCATTTATTTAATGTAAATTGTTATTTTGCTAAGCAAAAGTAAACGGAACGATAGGAATGAACATGGAAAGGATCTTAGGTCCTACAACCTAAAACATCTTATATTGCCAACTTCAGTCTTAAATCATTCTATAAAAAATTCCGAAAGGCTAAGGGGTTACTATTTAATTAGTGTCAAAGCCTTACATTTCACAATATTATTTTTTATATAACATATTCTTATCTTCAAAAATCCACTTCCAGTGTATTGAAAACAATGAAATAAAAGAAATAAACTCATTTCGTGTTAATTTATTAACATTTGTTAAAAGTATTAGAATTTAAAAAAACGTTATTACCAATATGTATGCAATTTTTTCTAATTTCAAATAATTATTCATATGATTTATAGGTAACCGTATATATTGCCAATTGTTATTTAGACAGAATATTTATCTTTGGTGGCCGTAATATATAAGTAGTTACCAATGCGTACCAACATGTGGAAGATCGAAATTAAGGATCGAGTTCTCCAACATCCACAATTATAGAAAACTGATTTAAATAAATAGATGAAGTTAATTTTTCTTATTACGGTTGCCCATAGGCATGGAATGTCAACTCCGAGTGTATTTATGCCGTAAAATAAAACGCCCATAAAAATTCATCCGCCGTTCGGAAGCGGAAAACATCAAGCATAAATTAGAGGAGAAGCTCTGCCGGGAATCGCTCCAGCGGTTGCAAAGCACCAATTATCAATATTTATATTAAAATGTGTTAACGTTTATTTTAGCAATTAATCCACTTTATACCTTTCTTGAACATAAAACTTTGGTACCAGAAAGATAATACGATAAACTTGTCTCACATTTTATAATATCTGAACGATTTGGTGTATCTTTCTATTTGTCGGAATTTGCCACATCAGACTACAATATAGTCGTCGTACTTGTGATTAATTGGATGGAGTTCGTTTTCCTATTCATAAAAATTTAAGAACATTTGGTTTATAGATATTTGATTTTGTAAGAACAGAAATAAAGAACTTTCGTTTTCTGCTTTCACATGATAAAATACAATTTGAAATATAATTTTGATAGCGATAAGTTACTGATTGTACACTAAATTATTTGTACTAAAAATTATCCTAAAAACTTCTTAGCTCGTTCCTCATATATTTTATCCGCATAGCTAGGGTAGCTTTGCAGTCGTTTGAGGTTATGAGCGATCAACTTTAGTAAAATAAGTAAGGCGTATTTATTTCTGTGTTTAATTTTTAATCACATTTAAAGAGAGTTCTGGCATCGCTCAAAGATTTTAATATTTTTTTTTCAAAGGAAGCTGGAATGACATTATTAAGCAAATCAAATGTATATTGATATTGTGCAATATATATGGATTGGAGGATGGGTTCATGTGTAGAAGCTCACGCAAGTGAAGAAAGTATTTTACTGTTATTAATCTAGAAGTGAATCTTTCTTTCCTTTCTGATTAGCAGCTCACGATTCCGGTCTCAGACCAAGTGTCCTCAGGGTAGGTAATAAACATTCGTTTGGAGCCCAGATAAAATAAGAATGAGAACCACCATGCGGGTGTGCGCATGGCTTGGGACCCACTACATCAATCATATACTCCAATGACAAAAAGCCTCTCATGAGATACCCCCGCAAACGTTTAAAAGATAAAAGACCACGATTTTAGAGCATGCATCTGCAATGTCTGTCGCTTAATTGGGAAGATGCCGCTGCTGCACTGTCGTCCAAGAAGTGACATAGACAGAAGGATTACACTACAGCGACCATATAAAAAAAACGCAAATTTGGCTGGATTTATGGTAGGAGAGAAAGTTCGTCGTCGAGTAGTGACATTTACTTCGGTGGATGAACGTCTCGGCACAATCCGCATCAAAACCAAAGTTTTAACACTTGGCTGATTTAAGAAGGACAATGTCACCAAGGTTACCTTTTACTTATGAGCGTTACCATCACCGCGATGACGAAATTGTGTTTGGCGACTTTAACGGCTGGGAGGCACGGCACAACTTTTGGAAATTAACCCCGCACTACAAAACATCTTTAAATAGGTTGAGGCTAATCGACTTGGCTGGGGTCAGAAATATGTTGCCTAGATTTCAGTACAAGAAAATTCAACAAGATACCTAACTGTCTCCAATTCTAAAAACTCACAACCATGTCTATCATGTTATGATAGACGGACGATATGTCTCCAGTTTTCATGGGTCCTAACACAGACACGGATTACTATCACTTAAAGCGAACAAGCGCACCCGCCTCCGTGTTTCAAATAAAGCCCGCAACGGACAAAGAAGATTTGACGTCGATAAGCTGTAATCACAACAGATAGCTAAAAGGTTCTTACTCGATATGAAACAATTTGCCTTCGGCAATTCGAAGAAGAGAAGGATACGATGAGGAATGTCAAACTGCACCGGGGAGGAAACGGACTGCCTACCTCGCAACCTTGCTATCGACTACAACACATCTGGGGTGGGATAGATGCAGCGAGCTAAAGCAAGAAGCATACAAAAAAAAAGAAAAAAGTAAGCGATATTAAGGAGATTTATCCTACAGTATTTGGCGCAGACTGTGGGATCATCTTTTTTATGGATTGGGCAGAGCATACTTAGGTTCCTATTCCTATTCAAAGGCTTATAAATATTTTTTATTATTTATTATACTTAGATACAAACAGCTGTTGACAGTTTTTTGTCCATTAAAGCACACATTTTCATAATTTGTTTTCTAATTTTATTTTAACATAACAATTCATTCAAAATTCACTTTTAGATATTTTTTTTACAAAAACGTGAAATCCATGAATTGAGTGCGACACCTGACTAGAAACCAAAATATTTTATAAGAAATAAATAATGATATGCACAATAGATAATAGGTTTATTTCTTACATTGATGTTATAAGATTTCGACAGCTAGCTAATGATATTGCTTGCCATACCGTTCTTACTTTTTCAAAGGGACACCCATTTTTGGGATATTTTTAACACCAACGACTCTTTTTCGTCAACTTTGCAGTGTAATTTGGATCATTATCATGTTGAAATTTTCCACTATGCCGACGGATGTCTCGGTATTTAAAATTTCATTTATCCTATAGAGTGGACCAACATCATTAAAGGAAAACATCCCCATACCATACCACCACATGATGCTCCACTATGCTTCAATACGCGTGAAACATAGCGAGAATTAAAATCTTGGTTAATGAGCGATTATTTTTTGTTTCATAGTTTCAAACGGCATACTTCGACTATTTTAGGGCCGTTTTTTTTTTTTTGTTATCGTCAGAAGCGGTTTCTTGTGTGCTGCTCTTCCAAGAAGTCCAAATTCGACCAAATGCTGTGCAATTATTCTCTTCGATATTTGAACAGTGAATTCATTCTGAATTTCATGTTGAATGTCCATAGACCTTTTTTTTTGGTGTCTTCGCGAGATCACTGCTATCCTGTAGTCTCTTCCTGCAAAAGTTTTAAAATTGGATATGCTGCAAAGGCAGTTGATTTGTTCCGCATTTTGACTCTGACTTTCCAGCTCTACGAAAGTAGAGCTTCTGTGTTTTCTAATCACAAATCTTAAGATAAAAATTTTAATTGATATTAAATAATAAATTTTAAATAAATACTTACCAAAAATTAAAAATTAGTAATATTGTTACTATTGAACAATCGTTTCTTTACTTTACACCAAGTAATGCACGCACAAAGTGGAAAGGAATAACAGTACTTCAAACATAAAACTGCAAATCTGGGGGCATTGAGTAGTAAATGGAGTAATAAAAACAATGCAAGTGTCGTTTTTAAGAGAATATAACGGTAAATTTTCGAATTTTACTATTATGCTCAACAAGCACTCAGGAGAAGAGAGCGTTTCTAATTAGTTGCCAACAGCTGTACATACATATGTATATTCCAATATTTCATTTTTATTTGTTTATAGAAATACAGATTTATTTATAAAACGATATTACCATGGCAACTCATAACTTAACAAAAATACTAACATTTAATCGTAATTTTCTGTAACCATCCCATCTTAAGCGCAGGGGTCATATTTTGAATTAAAATGGGCACATGTTACTTTGGGTCCACTGCGAGTTCTTGGTACCGATATTCGGAAAATATTACCCTTCGGCATGCAAACGCAAATTTTGTATTGAATACTACCAGTTCGCAAACCAAATTCAGAGCTGACTATTGGTATTTTATCCATATCCAAATAGATGCCAGCTCCTGCCTCCAAAACGATTAGTCCATCAGTTGAATTAACATTCATGTCATAAGATAATGACTGAATCAGTATATTAGCAGCATCTACTGAAATCCCCTCTGATCCTTTAAATGAAACGCCTACATCTGCATCCATGTTGAGTGGACGATCGGTGGGGCTTGCAATGCGGCTAGCACTCACTGTTTTTGCTATCAAATTTTCAGCACCGGCTGGAATATTGTAATGTGGACGATGAGATGTGAAAATTGAATTTCCACTTATCGAATTTTTAACTTCAAAATTGTTAACAGACTGAAATTGTATACCAAATTTATCCAATACCAAGCGATTATAAGCCTGTCCATTCTTATGTAGACGTACATAAACACCGTCATCGCCAGTAATGGTGACTGGTTCTTCAGTAAAGCCATCAATTCTACCTGTTTGTTTACTGTATACACGGTCTAAATCGGTATTTCCATAAAACTTAATCAAGTCATGTTCCGGAATGTTTTCTATTCCATTAATGCCTCTGCCAAGATGTATAACGCCAAATATTATCACCATAAGAATTAGGTTGCCTATTGTAAGCATCAGCATTATAATAAACAGCGTCCAAAATGCAAATGTTTTTCGGCCCTTTTGGATGGTATCGTTATAACTTTTTTCATAGTCACTATGGAATTTCTTGCCTACGCAGTTAGCAGCATTGTTCTGGATGTGCAGATCCGATTCCAATGGAAGCGTTGCAGACAAACCATTTTCAGATGTTGCATCTTCTGTGTATGAAGGCGAAGGCCCTCTTACAAAAGTATTCCCATAATTATGCATTGCAAGTCTCTTTAATTTAGTATTTGATGCAACTCAATATTTTTTCTTTATTTGATATGTATATATATGTACATGTATGTACCTATGTAGATACTCTTTTATTCTATGAATAGCAAATGTCAAGTTTTTAACCAGCAATAGTCAATACATGCATTAATTTCTTAATGCACATGCGCAGAATAAAATGCATATTTACAAAAAGCAAACGATGGGCTCACGGTGTTCTAGATTTAGAGGGGACTAAAGTTAGCTGTTTTCGGCAGGAAAGTCAACCCATTCGAAATTGAGAAAGGTAAATATCTTACTACTCCTAAAAGAGAACTTTTCTGAATTTTCACCGAACAGGATTTAACAAAACTTAGCGCTTTGTAACCGCTGAAGTGATTCTCAGCCAAGCTCCTCCTACAGTTTATTCTAAGGTGCCTGCAAACTGTCGTTGGATTTTTATAAGGAGCTTTCGATTTTCTTGTCAGAGCTCGGAGGGCTTGGTATTCCCTGCCAAGGCCGAATCGGCCGAAATCAGTAAAATTAATCTCCTATAAGTTTAGATGTTTTGTCAGAAAAGAAGGCTTACTCTCCCTAAGAAAGAAATTTACTGAGTTTTCACAGATTTCAGTAAAAATTAGCCGCAAGATGTACAACAGCTATTTCACTTATTCCTTGCATTACTTTAAATAAAATAAAATTTTTTAAACATTAATATTTATTTATTGAATCTGTTTCGACATTGGAAGCCTAACAATAAGTAAGAAAATCTTAAACTAAATTAAAACATAAGTCCCATTAGGAGGAACGGGCTGTTGGTTTGACGTTGCACTTTAGAAAGCTGCTTTGTCTCTTCTCCTCAGGCGGGTGTGACTTGTTGCATGGGTCAAGGTGTTCCAAACGGTTCGGATGGTTACGCCGTTCAGTTAAGTATTTTTTTGCTGCGATTTCAATCGCTTCTATAATGTTATGTATATTTAAATCTCTATGGATATTTTCATTAACACATATACAATGATGCGCCGTTATTACTCTTAACGTCGTGTTATTCGTCGTGCAAGCTGTGCCCCGGAACTGCATTCCATACATCCATGTCGGGTTTATTGTTGCATTATATAAGACGATTTTGTTGCTAAGGCTTAGTCTAGACTTCTTATTTAAAAGCCAATGTAAACTGTCAGATTTGAGTTTAAGCTGTAGCTTTATAGCATCAACCTTTGATTTGAATTCAAAATGTATTGTAATTAACAATGAAATAATTACCCTACAAGTACAAAGATGACTAGATACGAAAATCTCTTTGGTGAGAGCGTTCGAAAGTCTTCGTGTTTTTTAACATTTCATAAAAGTGTCACCGTGATTAGAAAAATTATTTCTAGGGATTTTTAGAGGACCTTTGGGTATTTTATGACGAGAAAGAAGTATTCCAGACGTCTTTATTATTTCCTGCTGAAGAAAGTTTCTTTTGAAATGAACACAGTTGATCTTTTTTATTTACATTGCGGTGCTGATGCCTTTTTCCCAAAGCAAGGCAAGAAGGCTTCCCATTAAATGTCAAGAACGGCTGATCATAGCCTGTCAGCTCGTAGAACGATTTTTCCGTTAGTTTCTTACAAACCTGATGCTTACATTTGAAAAACCGGTTCTCAACTTGTTCTCTTGTGCATTTTTGTCATTCTTCCCGGACAAATAGAACATTTTGATACAAATTGTCTTTACTTACGAGTATATACGTACGTATATATATATATATATATATAGGGTTATCCATTTAGTCGTTAGCACAAGGCTGTACTTTGGCATCTATCAATCTTGACTATTAAACCAGACATGTTTCGTTTTAGTCAAATCGTTAAAATCGTTAAAACATACTACAAAAATGGTGATTCAAAAGTGACCATGTTTCGTGCCTTAAATGAAGATTAAATGGAGCACATAGCCGTCCAAGTCGAGGCCCTGATTGGGTTTATTTCTCGACCTTCTGAAGAGATGGGCTTTTCTTACAGCGTTTTATAGCTATATAAGTATATCGGCGGCCGCGTTAGCCGAGTGGTTAGCATTGCGTACAGACATTCGGAAGACTCGGATTCAAATCCCAGTGTCACCAACATCCAAAAGTTGTGGAAACATAATTTAAATAAAAGATTAAGTTAAATTTTTTAATTGCGGTCGCCCCCTGCAGGAATATCCGCCTCCCTGCGAGTACATCTTGGACATGAAATAAAGACTCCTCGTAAAAAAACCATCAGCCGTTTGGAGGCGGCTTAGTATGAACTGTAGGTCTCTCCATTTTTTGGAAAAACATCAAGACGCAAAACCACAAATTGGAAAAGGAGCTCGGTTGACATTCGATTCAGCGGTTACAAAGTGCTAATTATATATATATAAATATTAAAGCTTATTTTGTACTTGGAGTTACGCCAACATTCATATAAAGTCCAGCTCACACAACAATAACCGAACATACGTGGCACAGTGGAGTAAATGGTGCTCAAAATGGAGATTAATCCCCACAAGCCTTCTAGTTACGGAAAAGCTTTTTTAGTTAATTAATCATACGTAAATAAAAAAATAATACAATTAGAATTATTTGAATGTTTTTTTTTTTTTAAATAATAAAAAACAAGTATAGTGAACATTGGATTTTATTTAAAATATATAAACTGATTCTTCACCACCATAATTATTCATTCCTTATTATTGCCACTCTCCATCACGACCAACTCTAAGGCTTCTTCCTGTAAATACCGCTTTTTTGTGGTAATTTTCTTTTGGTGGATATAACGGGTTAAAAGTCTTTTGAATCTTGCTACACAACACGTAATCTCTCATCTTCGCGATGTCACTTATCCACCCTCGGTACTATCTCATCGTACGATTTGATACCGTCAAGCTATGGTTGACATACCGTCTAAAACGTGCCAAACTTTATTAAAAAAAAGCAATTAAAAAAAATATTTATATTAAATGCATTTATTTACGTTTATTTTCGAAACCGCGAAATGCTTATGAGCTAGTGTTGCACGAGATTGACCAAAACTAATCACAATCCACAAAATATATGGTCGTCTCTCGACGGACACTAAACCAAACTCTACAAGTCCTATATCGTCCCCGTTCTGCTTCTACGAGTTGGCAACGGCGATAACCGCAACCGATACAATTATGAGCAGTAGCGCTGCGCTGACTAGGTCATGTGGTCTGGATGGACAATACTCCAGCATTGAAAAGTTTTCGATGCAGTACCCGAAGGTGGAAGCAGAGAAAGGGGCAGACCTCAACTCTGTTGGAAAACCCAAGTTCAGAAGAGCCTGGCTGAACTTGGAATCTCCAATTGGCGCCAAGCAGCGAGAAATATGATTAAATGGCGCGATGTTATGAATTCGGGTAAAATCGCGTATATTGGTTGCCCCAAATTTTGAGAAAATGCACTTACAAACAAAAAAATATAAATTTTCTTTTATAAAAAAATAACTTTTCTTCAAATAATGTATGTAAGTAACCGAAAACTAAACTACCCAGTATAAAAGGAGCATAATAATGCTTGGTATATAAAATTTATGTAGAAAAAATATATATAAATAAATTTCTTAATTTCTTTAAACCTAACGGTTTGTATTCTGCACTTGTTCACAAAACAATTTCATATTTTCAAAAGCTATTGTAGTTAATTACAACAAAATACATCGCACCGCGCGTCGAGATAAGGATCACAGCGCTATAATATTGGGTGTAGTAAAAACAGAAATCTTTTATTTTTCCAAAAGATGACGTTATTTATCTGGATGACGTTAGCTAGATGATATTTCGTACTATAAAAAAGAAGCTTTTCTGAATATATTATATATATTTTACAGTTTTTCTTCGATGAGGACGAAAGTGCAGGTCATGCGGCTGAAAATGTGAATAGCGTTTATGGTCCTAATACTGTTACAGTCAATCGTGCAAAATTTCGGTTTCATTCCGTTAATTTTGATGTCGAAAATGTCGCCAAAATCATGGACATTGTCCAGTCCAAGAGCTAAAGATTGCACAAAACCCGTCGGAACCATTTAAATAAGGTTGGATACGAAAAGTAGAAATTAAAGCCTACAATTTCACGCAAAAACAATGGATTTCCTTTTACTACACCTAATAGTAAGAGATGGTGTTCCTTTACTGAAGGTGTGAGTTTTTCACTCACTCTTTCGTATGGACTAATTCCATATGAATGCAGTGCCTATCTCGCTCGTATCCACTTTTAATAATGCATGTATTATATGTGTAATTACTGAAATGAGGACTTTTTTAAGCAATTTTGTAATGTTTTATATAAACGCCCAAATAAAGCATTATGTAAGAAACAATGTAAGAACTGATAAAAATTAATTAAAAGAACTTTTAATAGCAATACCAAAAGAATATTTTATTTTTAATTGGGTTAATAAAAATTATCTATTTCAGTCTTTACTTTGAATTTCAATTCAAAATATATTTATATTTGTAATAATAATTCTCATTAGGTACATCAGTTTTGAAAACGATGAAATACAAAATTATATTTATATGTACTAGTCATATTAATTCACATCATGTACATCCAGTTTTTAAAATGATATAATATAAAAAAATATAAAACATTTACATTTAATACTCTTAATTACATATTCCCTCAATTTAATTCTTATAATATAATATAAAAAGAAATAACAAACAAAAAATAATAATAATGAGCTCACAAAAATACACACACACACATTATTGTTTATATTTTTATTTTTATTTTTATTTTTTTATTTCCTTTGGTGGTATCGGTTATAGCTGAGTTCAATACATTTCTCATCGACTTCTCAAAAAGCTGACGCCCTTCTGCCGAGAAAACGTCTGAAAAAGTTAAAAACCAAAATATTTTACTTCTACGAAAGAATTGTTTAAGCTGATGGAACATTTTTACCGCTCAAAACTTGATTTATAAGTTTAAGCTTAAAGCTCGTTTTTTTAAAAAATTAACATGATATATCAGTAGGGGTACTCCCTGTCGTATTATAACAATTTTTGGATCGTTAAAATGACTTATCGATCATTTTAACGATTTCGCTATTCTCTAACATGGTTTAACGATTTTCGGATCGCAAA